TATAAAGTATATTAACACCCAATTTGAGTCTTCATACATGTACTTTGGATAATGATGTCCATCATGTTCCACCACCTTGCTAATCCCCTGCCCTCTCCCTTTCCCTCCCATCCCTCTGCCCTATCTAGAGTTCATCTATTCCTCCTATGCTTCCCCTCCTTACCCCACTATGAGTCAGCCTCCTTATATCAGAGAAAACATTCAGCATTTGTTTTTTGGGGATTGGCTAACTTCACTTAGCATTATCTTCTCCAACGCCATCCATTTACCTGCAAATGCCATGTTTTTATTCTCTTTTAATGCTGAGTAAAATTCCATTGTGTATATATGCCACATTTTTTTTTATCCATTCATCCACTGAAGAGCATCTAGGTTGACTCCACAGTTTAGCTAATGTGAATTGTGCTGCTATAAACATTGATGTGACTGTGTTCCTATATGCTGTTTTTTAAAAAAAGGTACACTCATACATTGTTGGTGGGACTGCAAATTGGTACAGCCAATTTAGAGAGCAGTATGGAGATTCCTTGGAAATCTGGGACTAAAACCACTGTTAGTTTGACCCTTGGACTATACCAATGGACGTTTAAAGTTGCTTTTATGTCACCTGCCTGGTCCAGAAAACTTGTAGTTTTCAAACCTTCTCAAAATAAACTATTTGTCTGATCTGATTCCACATGAACTTGGACAAATATCACCTTAATGGTACACTATTGTTGTTATGGGCTTTACTTCTGGACTTATTATTTTAAATATTTATAATAATAATAATAGTAATTCCTATTTTGCAGCAACTCATAGCTCTTGGGGCACTAAATTTTCTTTTTCCCTTATGTTTGTGTTGTCATATTGAATTTTTTGAAATAGTTCCTAAACCTTGGCATTTATCCTTGTTATATTTCCTCATGGGAATATTCTCCATGCATGATCTTTAAAAAACCACCTATTTGAGGAAAAGGCTCATGAACTAGAAAAGACATCACATCATCTGCACTTTTGGTAAATACCCTTGTTTGCCTCAACTTAACTAACAATTATCCTGTTTTTTCACATAGAAGCCCTAAAGAATTTTAAGAGTAAGCTGTCTCCTTATGAGCAAAGTGAAATCCTGGGCTACACAGAGCTATGGTTCCTGGGGCTTGATGCTGAGAAACTCAATGTGGCTCCAGAGAAATTCAGCAAGACAAGTTTTGATGATGAACATGGCTCCTATCTGAAGGTGATGAGGGAGGAGGTCATGGTGACCTCAGGTGGCTTGGGTGCAATAGAGAGTATGGAAAGGAAAGCAAAAGGGGATATTTTATAATGTTTTGTGTTGAGATGACAGGAACTAGACTTTCCAACAGATGCTAATAGGTGCTAAACCAAATAAACACTTTGTTTAAACATGAAATTTAGTATGCAAAATCTTCTAACAGAATGGCGATGTTCTTCAAGGGTATTTGGGATAACAAGTTTGCATTCCGAGTGAACTCTCACAGCCTATTCTCTTGCACCGTCCTGGACCCCTTGGAAAAGATCAGACTGGAGTAAGATGCACTTGCCTCTCAATCTCCTTTTTGTCTCCTCCACACAAGCCCATTCATGGGCCCTTTTGTGTTTTATAGCAGATGCCATTCCCTCCACAAATAAGAATAGTTTTTGTCACTGTAGTGTCCCTCATGCACAGTGCTTTACTTCATTCCGTTTTTCAAAAATTGATTGCAGAGACTCCTCTTTTTCTGACTGTACCTCTGGGGATCCCAGAGTAATGCCTCTTTCTAGCCTGAGGATGAAATCTGGATGGACAGTGACCCCCTCTTCTGAGGATGCCTGCATGAGTAACACTTAGTCCACCAGGCTGTGAGCTGTCTGCACTTTCCTACTTCTGGAAATTCCATCACAACTTGGTTTTAGGATATGAATCTTTGAGGGCTTCATAGAAGAGATGAATTTTCTTAACATCATGTTTCTCAAGTTTGACTGAGCACACAAATCACTTTGGGTTCCTGTTCAAGTGCAGATTTGTGTTTAGCAGGTCTGGGGTGGGACCTGAGATTTTGCATTTCTGAAAAGCATCTAGGTGAAGCCTATACCACAGGCCCTTAGGTAACACTTCTAAGAAGCAAGGATGTGATTTTATCACTCACTCTTCATCTAGGACCCTGGTTTTTAACAATTTTAGGTCAAGGATCCTTTTGAGTATCCTCATCCCAGAAACATTAAGCTGTGCATGTGCAATGCTTTGGGGCATTAATGGGTCCTTGGTTAAGAATCTTCAATATAAACATTTTCTCCAATTCAACCACATGTCCACAACCCCTCACTCCTTGCTCCTTCCTTTGCTTTGCCCTACCTGAGTCTAGAGTCTCTAAGAAATTACCTGGGGTGTCAGTACTACCTTTATGGGAATTCACTGGAACTCAGTTCTTCAGTCTCAAATCTTAGAGAAGTATGATTTTCATGGGGAGAGAGGGATAATGTGCATTCTCGGTAAGCTCCAATTTTTATTCCTATTTTATTCCAGCATATACACAAATATATAATTCCTAAACAAATGACAGCTACATTCTCACAACAAATGTTAATTGTAAAATTATTTACTGAGCACCTGTCATAAGCTTGGCATCTATTAGACTCTGAAAATACAAAGGGAACTATCATGAGTCAAGTAAGCACAACCAAAGTCCAAGTTGACATGTAAGCCAATAATTATGAGGCAACCAAACTGATGACATGAAGAAGATTAAATGTAAATGCTTGAAAAATATATGCCAAATTTGTGCAGATTCTGTCCCATTTTCATGAAAGACCTTTAGTCTAGACTAACCTTCTCTGATGTATCAGTAAAAGGTTTTACATGCTCAAATTTATGGTGTTGATTCTTCTTTGTGAATAATCCTTTATCTTCAAACACACAGTCACAAACCAGCCTGAAAACTTGTACACGCTCATCCCTCGCCTCTTTCAAATTCATGTGTAATTGTAGAAAGCTGAGATCAAGAGCCTGAGGACCTTAGAAATCATCTTATCCAGATTCTCATCTTCATCTTCACAAATGAGGTCACTCCAGCTCAGAGTACATAAGTGACTTATTTGAAGCCACCTAGCTCAAGTCTTTAATGGAAAATTTCCTGTGGTTTTAACTAAACACCTGGTTTCTTGCACAAGGATAGTCATGGGTGATTCTGGCTCTTAGAAAATATTACTCTCACCAAGAAAGTCTGTATTAACTTCAGAAGGGGACTCAATATGAATAAGACTAGGAGAGGACCAAATCTGGTCAGGAAGGAACAGAACAGGCATAAAGCCTTCTCTGATTGATAGAGGCACATCAAGGGTCAGAGATAGAACTCCCCTAAAAGGGAGCTGATGTTGAACTTGAAGAATCATGAAAGGTCCGAAATAGAAAGGACTTTCAGTTTTGTCCAGCCCCCTTACTATGTAGGTCCTAAGAAAGACATGCAGGAAACTAAAGGGCTGGGACTAGCACCCAACATTTCCAAAGACTAACTAATGTTCTTTTCACTGCTTGACATGGATGGAGCCTGTGGAACTAACTGCCCCTGGCACCACATGGGTGGTCTTGGATCCAGGAGATCACCTAACCACTACAGTATCAGAGAGAAGGGTGGGAGTTCAGAACCACTCCCCTCCAAGGAGTGACCCATGATCTAGGGATGGGGATCCAAGGGTCCTGGGCTCTGGCTCTTTTCCTCACCTCTGGCCTGGCTTCTGCAGGTCCTGCATGACCACATTGCCTACCGCTACGAGGTTCTGGAGATGATTGGAAAAGGGTCCTTTGGACAGGTGGCCAAGTGCTTGGATCACAAAAACAATGAGTTGGTGGCCCTGAAAATCATCAGGAACAAAAAGAGGTGTGGCTCCATGGATGACCTAGGCCATAGAAGATGGATTGCCTGGCTTCTAGCTGCTTCAGGACTCCAAACCTTTTCTGCCTCTGCCTCTTCCTCTTATATTTCTCTTTATTCTCCCTTTCCTATTTCTCTCTCTTCGTGTCTGAGTCCATGAAGGGGCAAAGCGGAAGTAAGAGTGTGGAGTTATGAGTGCTTTCTGCGGTGTTAGACATTTCTGTTGGGGTTGTGGTAGGGTCTGAGGAAACGGGCCAACTGCTGCACTATGACATGATACCTGTGTTTTCTGTCCTCATTCCCCACCCTCCCTGCCACTCCCCAATCACCTCAGATTTCACCACCAGGCCCTGGTGGAGCTGAGGATCCTGGAAGCCCTCAGAAGGAAGGATAAAGACAACAAGTACAATGTGGTACACATGAAGGACTTTTTCTACTTCCGAAATCACCTCTGCATCACCTTTGAACTTTTGGGGTCAGCCTTTTTGATTCATTTTCTTTTGAAAAAGTTGCTTAAGGGAACTTGAAGAAAAACTTTGAAGTCATAAAACTAGATTTTTCTGGGCGTGAATATCTAGTGACTAGTGTAGACATAGCAGTCGCACAGTTATCTAGGAGGTCCAGGAGTGAGGAGAACGGGACCCAAAACGGAGATCTCACCCCATTCCGCAGTCAACCTGTTATCTGCCAGCGTACTCCTGTTGTGCTTCCCTGGTGCTGAGGTCTGAGTACTGAGTAGGTGGAAAGTCCAAAACAAGGCCTCTGCCCTCAAGAGCCTAATTGAAACATGTTTAAAAGGACTTTCTTTGCTATCATGTTCCCCACACACTGGCTTCCCATCTCTACGGTATAGAGGCTGAAACCTAAAAGAACAGGAAGCTGGATGATCAGAGTGGGAAAAGGACTTTAATTCTGAGTAGAGAAGGAGAAGGGCAGATATTTTGGGTAAGAGAGCAGAGTCTTGATTTAAATAGATTGAAATCATTTGGGTGGATATTGGAAGTGAAAAAGCATTCTAAATGGGAAAAGGCGTGCTAATTTGATGATTCTTCTCTCTGAGAAGTCAATAGGCTGCAATTTAAACAAGCCCAGAAGACATTTAGCAAAGGAGAAAAATCAAGGTGAACCCTTGGAAGACATATGTTTCTGGATTCCCTGAGTTAGGACTTGGTGCTCCCACGACACCATCACTGATGGTGAGGTTCTAGGAACAGGCTATATTTGAGAGGGAGCATGGGCACTCCCCTCACCATCTCTGGTAATTACAAAATGTGTTCTACCCTATCATATGCAACAGTGGGTCGTCTTCTGTGGAGCAAAACAGACAGTCCAGGCTGCCTTTCTTGCCCATTAATCACAATGCCCAGTTAGGACATCATTGTACTTTAAAAGGGCTCTGTGAAGTCAAGAGAGGCCAGTGTGTAGAAGGAGAATCCTAAGCCCAGTAAGGTGGAGGTGCCCAGGTCAGGATGGCATTTCTCTGTTGTACCTCTCAAGAATGAATGGCTTTCCAGGCACAATGGTGCACACCTGTAATCCCAGCAGCTCAAGAGACTGAGAAAGGAGGATCGCAAGTTCAAAGCCAGCCTCAGCCATTAGCAAGGCCCTAGCAACTTATTGAGACCCTATCTCTAAATAAAATATAAAAAAGTGTTGGGGGATGTGGCTCAGTGGTTAAGTGTCCCTGGGTTCAATTCCTGGTACCACCAAGGCTAGATGATCTTAGAAATGGAAGATCAGGAAGAGCCTGCAGAGTCATTTCTAGGTCCTTCTCTTTCCTTCCTATCTTTGTCTCACAGTTTGCACAGAGATCACAAACTGGCAAATTTACAAACAAGTTTTTCTTTTTAAAATGCTTGGCATTAGTTTCCAAGACTTGTAAGTTAGCAGATTTCATATAATTGAATGTGCTTTTATATAACATTTCAGGATTCTGCCTCTCTAGAGAACTGAGGATTACCTGGCAAGAGCCAGCCTTCATTATAGCAAAGCCACAGTTAGATGGGACCAAGCAGCCACACTTGTCTTTAATAGAGTAGGAGTCCCTCATTTACCTTAGCTCTCTCGTCAGCACATTCCCTTTCTCCTTTACCTACAATATTTAGATAATCTTGTTAGGTCAGGGTAGGAATGACTTGGTTGAGTGACTAGTGGGCTTCCAGGGCCTTTCCAAGGGCCTGAGAACTATGACTATTATAGAAATTTGATCCAATCTCTGAACCCACACATGTAAATGAAGTACTTAAGTGGCTTTGTCATATAAGGAAATCAGGGTATATTGGAGAATCCAGCATGGTTGAGTGCCAATCTGGGTCTACCCTGAGTCACTAAGAAGGCTCAGTTTATCAGAAAGAAAAACCTTGCCTACTGATTTGAGATTTACTTGCTTCTAGAAGGGAATCCAGATAACACAGGATTGTTTGTAGGTTCAAACTTGGATGCTTTTTATACTCATCACTTTTTCTGTCTTTCCCAGAATCAACTTGTATGAGTTGATGAAGAGTAATAGCTTTCAAGGTTTTAGTCTATCGGTAGTTCGGCGCTTCACCCTCTCTGTCTTGAAGTGCTTGCAAATGCTTTACGTAGAGAAAATCATCCACTGTGATCTCAAGCCTGTGAGTATAACCTCTGTCCTGCCAGGAGAGCAGGTTCTCACCACTCTTTAGTGGCAGATAGGGCAGCCAGCATGGCCAGGGCTTCCAGAGTGGCAGCCCTAAAGTGCCTGCTTATAGGCTAAGTGAGAAGCAGTGAAGCCTGAGGCACACATATTGGAAGGACTAAGAGAGATGTAGTGTACTTGAGGCAGCTAAGAACCAGAGGGGTTTCCTACAGAAGTGGTAGGGGTGGGTGGTGGCTGTCTTGAGCATCAAGATCAAGTAGTTTTGGGGGTCTGGGTTTACCCACTTTTGCCCTTTCAATCATTAGTCATTTATAGTTCTTAAGAATTCTTGCTGGATTCTAGAGTTTTCCCTTATCTGTTCTGCAGAGGCTTGTGCCATTCACGTAGATGGATCATTCTACTACTCTGCTAAGTCCTTACTAGATCCACTGTACTCTGAGTTGCTCCTCAGGTATGGCACACCTCAGACCACTTCCTCTCCTTCAGTGGCTGTGCCCTTCTTACTTGTCATGCTAGTATTGTATTCTTAGCTCATTCTGTGTGTCTCACTGGACTGCAAGCTCTCCCAAGGTCAGACTATTATATCCCCAGGACCTAACACAGTGCCTGTAAGAGTAATGGAAGGCAACAAATAAATGCTTGTTAAATGAGCCAAATGATTGCAAATGTGAAGAAGTAATACTGTAGAGGTAGCTAGGACAAAATGTGAGGAACACTTGTTCCAAAAATAATCTGACCTTCACAAGGTGAATATCCCTTAAGTTCCTTACTCCCTTCTTTGCACCCCCAAACATGATTTAATTTTTTTAAACTGTAACTCATAAATAAAATTGAGGATATTTTTGTAACTTAATATTGTAAAGATATGGGAGGACATTGCTTTGTTCTCCATTTCTAAATTCCTAACCTTTAGCTTTGCGGTTCCAAAAATTCACAATGCCCATGGTTCTTGGGCTTAGGGAAGTGACTTTCACCAAGGAAATCTGTAAGGCACTTAATGGCTAAAATATCAAGTAACAGATTTCCTTGACAAGTAGATCAAGTAGACCAAATATGTGCATCCCTTTGGAAAACATGCACACAACCAGCAGGGTATTTTTTTGAGTGTTTATTAAAGAATCAGGGAATTATTCTTATGGACTTCATGGTTAGTATGGATGAGCTATGATAGCTCATTGCATTTGTCCCTTCCCTGGACTTTTTTCTACCAAAAAGATGGGAGATGAGAGGGTATGGTAGTCAGCTTTTGGTCCCTGTGACAAAATACTTGAGATAAACTACTTACAAAGAAGAAAGGTTTGTTTTGGATCACAGTTTCAGAGGTTTCACTCCAGGATTGAATAGATTCAACCATGTGATGAGGCAGAACATGGCATTAGGAGTTCATGGCAGAGCAAAGCTGTTACCTCATGCATCTAGGAACCAAAGAGAGAGACGGTCCCGGTCCCAATATCCCCTTCAAAGCACAATCTCAGTGACCTAACTTCCTCCAACTAGTCCCAGCTCTCAAAGGACCTACCACCTCTCCACAGTGCCATAGGCTGATGACTAAGCCTTCCACACAGCAAACTTTGGGCTTTTATCATAACAAAGGGCCAGCCCCATCTAGTGAAGGGGTCTTCTTTCCATTGGGCTAGAGACACACTAGAAATTCTTTTAAGATTTCTGCTGATTATCCTCCTTGCCTTAACACAAGCATTCTTTAGAAAAGATACCGTGGAGTAAATTTGGATTTTCAGTTTTGGCACCAGAGGCTTCGTATGTGCCATGTTATGTACTCAGCAAGCAATCCACATGGTCCATTCATCTGACAGTGAGATCCTTGAGGCACAAAGTAGGACTTTAATCTTCCAACCTCAGCCAGTGCTGAAAGGAGAGCCCAGAAGTTCCACCTTGTCATTTTATGGGTCCCCCAAAGTCAATGTGAGACACACACAAACCTCAATCTAACTTATTTATTTATTTGTTTGTTTGTTTGTTTATGTTCTTTATTGTCATAATGGTAGGTCTACAGGGGCATTAAACCAATTCATTGACATTTGTAAGGCAAGTGAGGCACAGAACTGGGTGTGGAAGAAGATATTAATAAACCCACCATCTTCAGGAGTTCCATGGTCAATATGGGGAAAGGTACATGCAAAACAGTGAATAATGAATCCAAAGAAGATGTAGACTACAAGTCAATGGGAAATAAGAGCAGGAGAGCACAATGGAATGTGGAGAAGATGCCAGAGGAGGAGTTTGAAGGTGGTCAGATTTGAACTAGGCCCCATAGGGGTGAGCATTTAAGTAAGTGGAGCACCTTGGGCAACATTGATTTTTATAAACTTGACCTCTCCTTTTTTCTCTTTGTGCTAGGAAAATATAGTGCTATACCAAAAGGGCCAAATCACAGTTAAAGTTATTGACTTTGGGTCCAGTTGTTATGAGCACCAGAAAGGTAGGTTCCCCACCGTCAGAGTTCTCCCATTGCAATTTCTCTCCATTTACACACAAGACCACCTGGGTTCCAATCTAGGATCCGCCATCCAGGGTTACTAGTATGATTTTGAACAAGGTGTTTCACTTCTCTGAGCCTAAGTTTCCTCATCTATAAAATGAGAAATTAGATTCAAATACCATAGAGGCTCTTTAAAGATCTTATATTCTGTGGACATGAAGTTACCAATAAACATTGGGTCACAAAACTAACTACATGTGTATCAGAAACACCTTGGGGCTTTGAAAAATTATAGTTTCCAGGACCTCACCCTACTAAATTTCTGGAGAGTGCACAGGAGTTTGCACTTTAGAAAAGAGCCATTCTAATGTTTGGGATTTACTGTCCTAGATTCTCTAGGCTTTGTACTTTTTTTCCAAACTAGAATGCAGGAAGTAGCCCTGGAGCACATTTGCATCAACCTTGATTGGATTTGATTTAAGTTCAATTAACTTGGCTTCTGTCAAGACTGATGTAGAAAACATGTACCATTCAACAAATGTCTATTTTCTGGTATTCATCATTTGCTGGTTTGGGTATGAAAACCAAAACATGAAATATTATCTGTCCTGGGTTGCTTATGTATAATGTAAGAGACAGAAAGATTAAAAAAAGTGAAATAAAATAGGTAGAATGATTGGGAAGATACACAGGCTCTATTAAGGGCACACATACACACAAAGACTTTGGGACCAGCCTTCCTGGTGTCAGAATGTGTCGGAGCCCTCTGAGGCTGCAGAAAGGACTATCGGATAGGTATTCCCAAATAGTCTGCAGAACCACTTTGGAGGACCTATCTCCTTAATATATTTTTCCATATGGATCCTATAAGAATTCCACCCAGAAAACAATGCTCCCCATAAAGAACTTGTATGTTTACTCTTTTTAGATATTGGCAACTGTATTAACCTATTAGTTACTTTTTATCTTGGGCTGCCAGGATGCTCAGAACTGAGTTTGCAATTACTGTATACTTGCTTTCTGACAGTAACTTCCTCCTTTATATTTCTCCTGACTTCCCTTTTATCTTTAACTATGAGGCAGTATGGAGTATGGATACTGGAATTGGACTTCCTGGTTTCAATTCCCAGCTCTGTTCACTGGAAGCTGAATGACCTTGACAATTCATTTAACCTCAGTTTACTTATCTTTAAAATTGAGACAAAAATAGTACCTGCTTCATAGGGCTTTTGTAAGGATTGAAGAATTCATCTACATAAAGCACTTGGGATAGTGCCTGGCACATGCTAAGCACCACACAGGTGCCATTAAATTCATGATTTAAAGTACCCTATATATATGAACTTGGCATAGTACTCAAATTCATTTTGTAAAAGACATGGTATAAAAGTTGTTTTTAATCAAACATTTATTTTAAGTTACAGAATTATTACATTCTTATAACCAATCTAAACATTAAAGAAGTGATTACAGCCCATCCCAATCCAGGAAATCACAACATAGAAAAAAATCAAAATGTTCCATTTCCCTGGCTTTAGATTCCTTATTTATAAAATCTAGGCCCCCTACAATATAATCTTCTCTCTGTCCTTATTTGCTGAGATTTTTGTTGAGCTTTTCTTTTAGTGCTTCATTATACAATAAATATATAATATATTGAATAGACATTGAATTTAAATTTTGCATTTTGTACACTTCCAATTCTGATATGCTTCCCCCAGTGCCAAATCACAATACTGTCAGAAATTATCTTTCCAAAGCTCACCTGACAGTTTGAAAACTTAGTTTATATTAGTTTTATGGTTTGCTTCTTTAAAAACTTGTCTGACATAAAGTGTTTTAAAGTACCCTGCTTTAACTTGCTCAGAACAATGCCTACTTTGGAGTTCCTTATCAATAAAGTGGGGATAATAGCACCTTCATTTATCATCAGGTTGTTGTGAGGATTTGATGATGTTTTGTTTTTGATGTTACTTTCATCTTGCAGAGCTCAATAGGGTAAGAAGGTGGGGATAGGGGGATTCTAAATTATCTGCCATCTTCAATTGCCAAACTATCCTGGAGAGGGGGCCCCGGAGAGAAAGCCAGCTTGCCCACATCAGATTTCTCTTTTTGCTCTAATAGTATACACCTATATCCAAAGCCGGTTCTACCGATCCCCTGAAGTGATTCTGGGTCACCCCTACAATATGGCCATTGATATGTGGAGCCTGGGCTGCATCTTGGCAGAGCTGTACACGGGTTACCCTCTGTTCCCAGGGGAGAATGAGGTGGAGCAGCTGGCCTGCATCATGGAGGTGAGGAGGGAGGCCTGCTTGGTTGATGTCCTTGGACGGCTTCCGTCCTGACATGGGGCTACATCAGACTCATCAAGGGCAGTGGCCTGCATGCTATTTTTTTTTTCCTTTGGTCAAAGTTTCCCTAAAAGTGTTTTTGAAGTTACATACTTCTTGTACATTTTTGAGAACTAACATTTTTATTATAAATTTACATAGTTTCAAAGGATGCCATTTCCCCCTTAATGTAAATTGTGTGACATTTAAAAATAAAACTGTTAAAGCAATCTTTCAAATATATCCAAAAGAATTTTAAAAAAAGAGTGACCTAATACCCACCAAAATCTACCTTTAAAAGGACATAAATAAGTTCTTTAACAGTTGTACCTTTCTTTAACTCTTTTTCCTCCTTGAATGAACTTTTTAAATTCTACCTCATATATAGAATTTTATTCTAATTTAATATAGCTTTATTTTTAAATATATCAATCACTATAACTTCAGATTTTTATTATCATAAGCTCCATGTGTAGAATTTTTTTCTCAAGAGATCACTAAAATAGAACTAGTGCATAAATTAAGATAATTAGTAGTCCTAAAATGTGAAATTTTACTTCACATTGTATACACCTCTTAGAAGAATAAATGGAGCTGAGTTTTCTCTTTTTCCCATTATTTTTTATACCTGTAAGTGAACACTACTTCTTTAAAAAAATTTTTTTTAGTTGTTGATAGACCTATATTTTATTTATTTATATGTGGTGCTGAGAATTGAACCCAGTGCCTCACACATGCTAGGCAAGTGCTCTACCACTGAGCCACAAACCCAGCCCCAACATTACTTCTTGCTACAATGAACAGGCTCAGGACCAGGCCATTATAATACATTGATTCCAAAGATTTGTGAACCCAAGAAGGAAACCTGTTCTAATTATGTTGCCTCATTCTATGACTTTTTTTGAATTCTGTGTAACAATTGAATAATGATCTATCATCAGAAATTATTTTTAGCAACCTATCAGCTGAAACAAATAATTGGAAATTATCTGACAAAAAATAGGTAGTATTCAGTAATGACTTTTGCTCTTTTAACCTGGGAGGACTATTTCCCATAAAAAGGCTTTACTAAGACTCATCACAGGATTATTAATCACATCTCATTTTTTTCAATAAAGTTTTCTTGTAGAGCTAAATTAGACAAAATGGAGAAAATAACTAAAAATTTGAAAAATTCAAATTTTAGGATTTTCCTAGTAAACTGATAAAAGTTTGACTGTGAATCTCTCTAAATCAAAAGCTAAATTTCTGTTTTCTAGATTGTCTCAAAGTTAATCAGTGACACATGCCTTTGAGAAGTATTAAATATAGATGATTTCATTTGTTGTTTGAAACTAATAATAAAATATTAAAATCATTTAGATGAAAATATCTAGAAATGGTAACTATGGTGGAATCAACACTGGCCTGGGAGTTAGTAAATTTGGGGTCTAGTCCTTGTTCTGACTTTTTGGCAAGTCATTTCCCACTCTGGACTGGAAAATGAGGGGGTCAGACCAGATGACTTCTAAGGTTGGTAATGATTTTATGAAATATCCCTGAACCATTCCTGCTTCTAATACCAAGGTGAATGGGGCATCTGGCTTGAGCTTCCCACTGCCCCAGGACTGTCTCAGTTTCCCCTTGATATCTGTAGGGTTGAGGAGCAGGAAGGCAGGATTGTGCATGGATTATGGCCAGAAACCTAGGGCTGAGAGCAACCCATAAATTTCTTTATCTGTACACTCCTATAAGGTTCAGCAGACAAAAGTGAATAAGTAGGCCTATACCTTTCTTTCCAAGAAGGAATTTATCTTACAAGAAATGCCTTCTCTGGTGATTTGTATCTCCTTTCCCTCCCTTCTCTTCCCGGTGTTCCATGCGGGGGGGTGTCATTCCTAATTCAACGTGATCAGCATGTACCGACATAGAGATCTGGCTGCTATCAAGGTGGCTTGCCTTTGTTGGTGCTGATGTATGTTTAGAATAGCATGTGAATCTTAAGATACTGAGACAGCCCTGGAGACATGAGCTCTGGGTCTGCCATGCTACTGACTTGATGTCATCACTTAATATCCTCAAGTTCTTATCTGTAAAAGGAAAAATGTGGCCAAAGTCCCACCTAGCTCTTAACAGTCTTTGAATCTGTGACTTCACCAAGAGTGAACCAACTACACTGTGCTTGTTGAAGGTGCTGGGTCTGCCGCCAGCCCACTTCATTCAGACGGCCTCCAGGAGACAGACGTTCTTTGGTAAGTCCCCAAGTCTAATCTCTTTATCTCATTGTGTCTAATGAGGTGTCACAGGTCTTGAAGGTACTTCCCATACCCTAAATCTCATATTTTGCTTTTCTCCTGTCCCCATACCAAAGGGCAGGATGTGGTTTAGGAACTTACAGGTAATGAAAAGTGGTCCCAGATGGCATGCTGGAGATGAGATGGGTGAAATCACAAGGGGAATGGGTTCTTGGCAATACAAATGCATTGGAGCAGGAGAATGATCAGGTTCCCACTCAGAAGACCTATCAGCAAGTGTTAGAACCTCAGAAGATAATGATCTCCACTCCTAGTTCTCCCTACCTTCCCAAGCAATTTGCTCTCTCAAGCCATGCACTGTGCAGAAATATTGGAGCAGACTTCTTTTAGAGAGTAGTGGGGAATTTCATTACTATGTTTTATCATTAATGGAACATTATTTTTATTGCCCCAAATCTTCTAATCCCCAAGACCCTTACTGCCCCAGGTTCACTGTTACTCTGTCATAAAATGGGTAATTAAGGCCTGTCAGAACAATTTCAGTGTAGATGTGTTGTTGCTGGTCAATTATGATTGGGTCATGTGTCTGAGTTTTGGGATTCAGTGTTATGTGCAGCCCTGTGCTGCCCCTCTCATCACAGTGCCCAGGCCCTGAATTCTCTGATCCTCTGTCTTTCTATGTGAGTGGTGCTGTACACGTTGAACAGATGGAACAACAAGATACCAACTGAGGTAGGGCTTCCAGGACACTGACAAGATAAAGTAAATTCCAGATCTAAATTCTCTCTGAAGAACCACAAAAAGCTTAAGGGGTTCTGAGGCAGAAAAAGTCATCTTGGGGTTGGGGCTCAGTGGTAGAGAGCTTGCCTCTCACACATGAGGCACTGGGTTTGATCCCCAGTACCTCATTAAAGAAAAAAAAACTAAATAAAGGCATTGTTTCCATTTATAACTAAATATTTTTAAAAAGTCATACTGGCTTTAATGTTATCAACGTGGAACAAAATCAGACATGAGGGAGAGAAGACTCTACAGACAGGGCCTTCCTGCCATCTGGAATGACATTTTTTTAAAAAATATAAATATTATTTTATTGATTCAATTTTTAAAAATACATGACTATAGAATTCACTACAATTTTTATTACACATAGAGCACAAGTTTTCATATCTATGTATATAAAGTATGTTTATGCCAATTCATGTCTTTATACATGTACTTTTTTGTTTTGTTTTGATTTTTTGCATGACAATTCTTTTTTTTCCTTTTGCATTTTCTTTTTAAAATTTGTTTTAATTAGTTACACATGACAGTACAATGATCTTGACATATCATACATTTGAATCAGATGGGGTATAATCTCTCATTTTTCTGAGTGTACAGGTTGCAGAATCACATTGGTCCTGCAGTCACGTATATACCCACAGCAATAATAATGTCTGTTTTATTCTGCTGCCCTTCCATTCCCCCCTTCCCCACCCCTCCCCTCCTATCACTTCTCTCTACCCAATCTAATGTGACACACTTCTTTTTTTTCCCCCTCACATCATCATACATGTATTCTGTATAACGAAGAGGGTCTCTTTCTGGAATGACATTTTTGACAAACTATTGTTGTCAGGTTAGTTCATGGGCTTACACAGGCTATGCCATCCCAGTCTTCCTAGCCCTCCTACTCTCATTTTCAACTGAAAGTGGCCTCAGAATGGGTATGTAAGTCACACAATTTCACTTCACAACTTGCCCCATCAATAGGAGAGTCAAAATATTCTCATGGGGGAGCCATGTTTTCATTTATGCTGTCCAGTGTGTACTGGTTCAGTATGTGGGGATTATACTGTAGTCTCCTTCTATACCATTTGGTAAAACATCCCAGGCCTGAGCCCTATATAGGATTCCTGACCCTTTTTCCTGTTCTCCATGGACTCCCCATGATCCCCAAACTGAAAGCTGAAGGCTCAGCAAGCAGAGATGTTCCATGATCCTTCTTTGTTCGGTAGTGAGGTATCATCCATTCTTAGTTGGTCCCATGCCATTCCAGTGATTACATCTCTTAAAACATCATCTTTCAATTGTGGATAGAGCTTTGAAGACCTTGCCTCTCTGATCAAGAGTGTGTCTTGGTTGCCACAAAATGGTGTCCACATACTCATCTTTCTTCAGAGCTGTTAGATGATAGGCAGAAGCTCTAGCTGACTTACTGATATAACATACATTAAACAATAGGACTGGTCTTTTGACCCTATATACTTTCCCCATCCACCACTTACATTATTCAGCCTTTTGGATTTTTGAAGGATTTGGAGGAAGAAAAGTGGTGATATTAATGTTTCTTTCTGCTAGACAAAGTCATTGGAGAAGAGTCACATCCTAAGCCTTTAACACTGACCTCACTGAGATAGCATCATGGTGGTGACTAGAAAGAAGGGACCACAGGGCATCTTGGAGGGGAGATACCAAAGACATATGCATGTCCATTTCACTGACTACTTGATCTCTACCATCAGCACTAGGCTATAGGATGGTAATAGGGTTTTGGTAGCAACATTCACACAGTTCCACTTCCTGTGCAAGAAGGGTCTTTACTCTCCAGTATTTCCCAAACTTTTCAAATTACAAGAATCATTTGGGCACTTGGCAAAAATGCTAATTCCCACAATCATTCTCAATGATCTATGAGATAGTAAGTTTGAAGCAGGATCCAAGATTCTGTTTTTGACAACAGCTCCTTAGGAGTCTTCTGACAAGGTGCCTATGTAAATGCTGTGTTCATGTTGGTTCTTGATTTTCCTTTTCTTATGTTTGGGTTGCCAACAGTTTCTCGGCTCCTAGCCACTCTTAGTTAATACTCCTCATAAGCAGCAAAGTGATGTTGCCTCAAGGATAGTGAGACACTTAGGTGCCCGAGGCAGCAGCAGGAAGAAGATGGAGAGAATGATTAGATATTGGGGAGGCCCAGAGGTGTGAGGAAGACTTTGATGAGAAAAACAATTACTTAAATGTTACTTTAGGAGCTAAGTTGTTTAGAGAACTGGGAGCACAATTCTTCTTTGGTGAACATAATTCTTTGGTCAACAAAAAAGAGCAACATAATTCCCCCAGTCACTTTTATGCATATCAATACAGAGATATCTGTGTGTGTATGTACACACACGCTCATGTACACATTTATGGGAGTTTCCTAGGAATTCAGTAAGAGTGGTTGTCTTTTGGAGGACCTGAAAATTACACTGGTTACAAAAGTAGTAGAACTTTATTATTTACCCTCTAGAATGTGCATAACATGAACTCCACTGAGTTCTGTGAGAATTCAATAGTGTAAACTGTGTGTTTGTGCATATACACATTTACCACTTAGGTGCAGACTTACAAGGTATAAGCAATAAGTGGTCAACTTTTCTAAGCATGCACACAAGAATCTGAATGTCAAGGTGAATGATCTTACCTTCAAAGCATTGCACAAAATATCCTTGGAAACCTTTGGAGCTATTTTGGGGGCTTCTTTTTAGGGATGACAAACCATTCATTGGTGGTTTGTCCCCATTCTAAACTGTGTCTTCAGCAACCAACCAAGTTGGAATATTCCAATTATGGTCAAAATTTTGGTATAAGTGTAAAGGTGTAATGAGGGTGATTTGCTTGTATGGTTTGTAAATGAGCCCTGAGAGCATTCTCCTAAAATAGCTTTCTTTCTTGTACCTGTGGATGTCCCAAATTTTCACATACTTGGGCTAGTGGGGAAGAAGTAAGGACACAGATAGTTTAGAAAGGGACTATATCCTTTTTGTTCAAAGCCATTTTTGACACTTCAGATTATCATTGCCATCACCATTATCATTCATCATCATTATTATCTTGCCTTTGTTTATATTCAACTAAACTATCATTTGATTTGGGGAGAAGTTGTGTGAAAGAGGCTCAGAACCTACTGAATAGTAGGAAAAATTGTTTTTAATGTTAATTGCATTCATGGAATAATCGACCTGGTTTATTTCAAAGTGACTGAGACTGTGTGTGTGTGTGTGTGTGTGTGTGTGTGTGTGTGTGTGTGTGCGCGCGCGCGCGCATGGGGATGGGTGGGCTAGGGTGTGTGTTAAGACAGAAAGTAGAAGAGCTGCAAAGATGACTTCAGGAAGCAGTGTGGTTGAGTGGACAGCTGTGATGTGACCAGTGAGTATTTACACCTGGAACTAAATACAGAATATTGTATCTCTAAAGATTCCAAAGGTTTTCCTAAAACTATAACCAACAACAGGGGGAAAAAAAGATACCCGGATTCCAAGGATCTCACGATGGTGCTGAAAACCTATGACACCAGCTTCCTGGACTTTCTCAGAAGGTGTTTGGTGTGAGTTTGTTGGGGTGTCTCTTAAGTACTGGGTTTCCTCTTAAGTACTTGTACTTTTGCATGTGTTTGCTGGTGAAAGTCTAAGACTGGGAGATGGTTATAAAAACATCAATGGTAGAGTTTTGCAGTCTCCAAATTGCTTTCATGTCTGCCTCATGAAACAGTGCTCTCCCCCTACTGTGTGATGATCAGGGCAGATATCTGCTGTATTTTGCAGATATGCAGCTGGTTTTCAAGAGAGATTTGGTGTAGATTACAGTGTGTGTTAAGATTTGTCATCTTCTTGACCTGAAGCTGCATGCCAGTGAGATTGTAAGCAAATCCTAATGTCTTCTGTTCCTTGAATGGAAGGCAACCTCTTCAGTGAGCCTATTATAACCAGTATATTCTAGGTTCAGAGCCCCTCTCCATTCCCCTAGGATTCAGTGCCCAAATCCTCTTGCATTAGGGAACTAGAGGCAGGTGAGTTGTAAAACAGTTATTATGTACAACTTTTTACAATCTATATGCATATTTTGAATCTTAAAAATTAGGTTTTGTACTTTGATCAAATCACAATGAAAAAGGAGTCACCACACGAAGCACCCAACACAGTGTACAGTTTGTAAGGTTCTTGGAAAATGTTGGCTATTGCTTCTATTTTACTATTAAAGAAGTTTCTCAAGTCCGTCTCCACGGAGTGCAAGTATTAGCTGAGTGCTATTCGACAAGTTATCATTTCTCTCTGGGCCTCAGTTTCCTTTTCTATAAAGTGGGGGCATTCCTAAAGTACCTTCCATCTCTATCAGTTCTACAGTTGTTTAGTTTTAGAAGACCATATCTTTACTATTCTCTCATTATTCCAGTGGAGTAATTTTAGCAAAATACTTATTTGGCATTTGTGCATTCTGTAATTTAGGTTCTAGCTTAGAGGGAAAACCATCAGATACCACTGAAAATATTTTCATCTATGGGAGTTAATACTATTTACTTCTCTGAATAATTGAGATAAGGATTCTTGTACCCTATTTTTTACCAACATATCCCCCAGCTCCATGCTCAGGCCATAGAGGGAATGTGCCTTAATAAGTGCCAGAAACTGCCCAGTGAGATAGGTGAGTTGTCTAGAAACCCAGCCATCCTGAACACAGCTTAGCACAAGAAAAATATTATTTTCTTTTTTAGTTTAAAACATCAATTGCTCACAACTTGTAAGAGATGATTCAAGTTGATGGGGGTATACTCCCTAATCTATATATTGCTAATCAGCAATTTATAGAGTGAGAGACTAAATTTTTTTAGCTAAAGACAATAGGATTAGTAAACACCTAGCTTTATGTGCAGGTTTTATTGGCAGGCTCCAGAAGTCCAGAAGAGGGGAGATGAAGTTTAAGAAGCAGTTCATTTGACAAAAAACTGGGAGCTTGAATTGCTCATGCCTTTGAGTCTGGACTAGTAATACCATCTCCCTGCAGTTGGCAGCTATTCATTCCCAGCATGATGGACAATAGCTAGAATTTCCTACCTTGGAAGGTGGTTAGATGGTGGAAACTACTAACTATGACTAATAGTAGTGATGTGTTTTCTGGTAGTTGAGGGACTCTGACATGTAAGATTATTTTATTCTGCAAAATGCTAATGGGTAGAATTAGGACCTGGGTAAAATTCACTGAAAAGTGAGCCGATTTTGGTCCAATAAAAATCAAGAACTTTTAAAGAATCAGAGTTTTTAAAAATTGAAATAGGAGGATCTGTGACTTTACTGCCAAGTTACTGATATTACTTGAGAATGGCTAGGTAATTCTATGTTGGGAATTCCGTCAAATGCATTTTATTACTTTGTTAGAAGTTTGCCTGTATCATATCCAAGTCACCTTATAAATCTTAATATTCTAAAATTCTATAATTTCCTGTATGATATATATGGAGGTCCAAATCCCACATCTTGGGAATTGAAATTAAATATCTGTTTCTAATCTTTTTAGCCTATGAAATCCTAATTCCAAATAGGTAAGGTTTTTAAATAATATTTCTTGTAAGAAAAATTCTGGAAATCTAGAAAATTTGAAATTTAATATATTCCCCAGCTCACATACTTTTTTTTTAAAAAAAATTGTTTCTAGTAGTTGTTCTCAGATACTTTTAAATTATTTGATATAATCTTTGTTCTGTGATAATATATTAGAGATTAGGACATAGCTCAATGAAAAATATCTTTATTGGGTTCTTAAAATTATTTTAATATTAAGAGAAAATAAAAGAGTAATCCATGCCAGGCTTTGTTGATGTGCAGATGGGAACCTTCTCTTCGTATGACCCCTGATCAGGCCCTCAAGCATGCTTGGATTCATGAGCCACGGAACCTCAAACCACGGCCCAGGCCCCAGGCCCTGAGGAAACCCAATGTCACTCTTCCTTCTGAGATAAGCAAGAACAAGGTTCAAGAGTATCATCACTCAACCCAAACAGGTATAGCCCTCAGCCAGACAGTCCTCTTCACATAGTTCAGGGAGTCAGGTTCTTCTAGAGGAAGGTCAATTTCGTTGAGCTTAGTCTTGGATAATTTATTTCTGGCTATGACATTATTAGTCTGCCCTTTCTTATTTTGAGAATTTTTCTTTTTCAAGAAACTTGGCTTTTAGCCATAGCCATCTACCCGCCTTATTGAGGGATTTTCCATTTTTCTCCCATATTCAATCCCTTTTCTATTCCTTCCCTTTTCTTTCACTGTGTCTGCCTCTTTATGCCCTATAATTACCTTTTGAATTTTTATCACTGACAAATTCTAGGATTATGCAAATCTTTTATATGTAATATAGCTTAGTGGTTAAGCATAGGCCACTGGTATCAAAGTACTTGGGATGAAATTCTGGCTCTGTCACTTACCAGGTGTGGGCTCCTGGATAATTTACTTAACCATGATGCAGATCCATTTGCCTATTTATGAGAATGAGAATAATGCTTATTCTGTAGTGCTGCTGAAAAGATCAAATGAATCAGTAAATGTGAAGTGCTTAGAATGATGCCTGGCACATTAGAATGTGTTTTACAAATGAACTATTTTTATATCATTATAACCACAATTTTCCCAAAATGATTTACAACCTAACAGAAAGTTAGAATATGCAGTCATTAATATTTGAACATCATTCAGTCTTTTCCATCCTTTGGCAGATGAGACCACCAAAGAGACTGCAGACAAAATAAAAGATGGTGCCACTAAGAATGTTCAGAATTCAGCTGATGAGCAGGACTCTGTCCAGCACACTACTGAGACTGTCCAGCTGCCTCCTCTAGTAGAAGCTCCCAGAAAACCAGAGGCTGTTACTGAACCAGAGGTGGCCAAACCCTCCACAGAACAAAGTGGCCCAAGCTCCTCCTCTAGTAATACAAACATTTTACCACGTATTGTATGACCCTTGCTGAAGGGTCCTGTGTCCCGTTCCTTTCCAGTGATTTGTATTCAAGACAGCACTTATATTGTAGAATACTTCAGATTGTTGTTTTTCAATGCATAAAGGTTTGTTTTTAAAAAATCAACTCTTTCTTCACATAGACAATTGGCCAGATTCCTCTTATGAATGATGTGGGTGGATGTCCTTATACCTGAACTCACTCTTTAGCTACGTGTGTGTGTGTGTGTGTGTGTGTGTGTGTGTGTGTGTGTGTTTGGGGGTAGTTTTAGTATCATTAATGGTACTTTAAATAAATTTTTTTTCTTTTTGCCCATGATTGTCAACCTATATCTATCAGAATTTTTGTTTGGAAATAACAAAAACTAAGTTCAAATTAGTTTAAGTAATAAGGGGAATCAGGTGGGGTAGATGCAGTTTCAGGCACAGCTGTATCTAGGAATTCAAATAAGGTCATCAGAGCTCAGATTAACCTTGCTACTTTTTCCTCTTCTTTCTCTTTCCTTCTTTCTGTTCTTTTTCTCTTCTGCCTTGATTTTCCTATATTTAGCTTCATCCTGATGACTGAAGGCTCATCCCAGAAGTTAAGATGACTACCAACATCCAGTCAAAAGATAGTCTTCCTTGCTGGCAGGGAAGTCTCAAAAATGACTATCTCAACTGTATCTGAGAGACTGTGGTCCTCTGTGATTCTCACCTGGATTATAAGCCCACCTTGTAGTTGTGTTGAAAATGCCATGACTGTTGCTTCTCTAGGAAGGAGTAGGGGATAAAGTGCTTCCCGAAGGAGGGAAGTTGATTTCATAAGCAGGATATTTTCATTCATCCACCACTCCTCAAATCCAATAAAGTCCACTTATTTCCCTTCTCAGTTCTATCTACATAAACCACAATTTCTATATGGTTGTATTACAGGACAAACAAAATATGACATGAAACTTAAGATCATAAACAACATAGAAAATATACCTGGCTTCATAGTTTCCTTTAAAAATACTACATAATATTCCAAAAATGGTGATATCAAGTAGTTGAAGCCATGGATTTGGAAGAGATCACTTAGGGAAGAGGACACAGGATAGCAAAGAGTCAAGAGAAAGTCCGGGTAGGATAAAATTACAACATGACAGAGTAGAGCCCCTAAGAGACCTAGAGAAATAGGAGGAATTAGAAGACAAAGAGGAAAAAGTTTCTAGGAGGGGAAAAAAGGTCAAAAACATTTCTAGGGAGGTGGGTAAGAATGGAAAGTGTTTTAAGTGGGGTGTCACGAGCATTTAGTCAGAGCAGTGCTATAACTTGTCCTCGGTTCTATAGCCAGGAGGTCACAGAACTGGCCAGAGAACTCAGGTCTTGGGAACATATTTTTCCCCAGTGCTGGAGACTGAACCTAGGCCTCTCTTTCATGTGCAACAAGTACTAAGCTACACCCTCAGCCTTGAGGAACCTCTTTGGACACCATCTTCAATCATGGATAAAGTTGGAGGTTGACTGGGGTTCTGCCGCTCAGCAGACCCACAACAAGAAGTAAAGTCTAGAACATATAACTAGACTGATTTTGTTTGAATATTAGAAACTTTTTTCTCATTTTCATGATTATAAAAGGTAAAAATGAATTCTTGACAAATTGTGGCTTATTTTAAGGCAAGATTTAAAATGAGGGGAGTTGTAAATTGAGGCACACAGACAGGAGATATATAGCAAACAGCAACCTTTGCTGGTGTCTCTCGGTTCAGCATAATTCTGCTTGCTTCTGCCATTCGTCTTTTTTTCACTCCTCTAAGATTTCTGGACCTTATTGAATCTTTACCGTTTAGATGCCAAGAAAACCAAATACACGGAGCTCTTTAATTTTTTTTAATTTTATGTCCTTGCTCGCATGGACAGGAAAATGTGCAAAATCCAGTGACTAGCATTAGATGACATGTCTTTCATGTGAGTGGTATGAAGATAATGTTAGGGCTCTGTGAGGATAAGGACAAGGGAGCTGTGGGAATGAGGGGAGAGTGGGTGGGGCAAGGGCTGGGCCCACTGCTGGAAGAGGGGATGCAGAGAGTGGGCATGATCACAGGTTCACCATCAGCCAGTCCAGCAGCTGCAGCCGTGTGACATTTCCCACCGCCTCATCCAGCTGTCGCTCCTTCTCATAGCGCAGCACCGACTGCAGAACCTCCCCTACGCTGCGTCCCTTGTCTACAGCAGCAGCCGAGAGCTGAAGTAGCTGTGGAAAGCAGAGAAAACAGCAGTGGAGGGGCCAAGGGTCCCCAGGCAGTCCAGAAACAACATGATACAGTTAGAACCAGGAGGCCAGGTTGACTTTGGGAAAGTACAGCAGCAGGGCCACAAGTTAGATGTTGAGAAGACTTCCTTAAGAGCAGTTTGTCAGTCTGTCTGGCAGAAGGAAGTTGGTGTTATCACTCTTAATTCAAAGAAAGATGTTAATATCCACTGTTCATGACATATAAAATGTGATTTCTCATTAAGACAAAAAATTTATTTATTCCCCTTTATTCCCCTCTGAAGAAATGCTTACACTGAATGTTCATTAATAGTGTTCTGCCCTCTAGGAATTCTAAAATTTTAAACCCTAATATCATAAAATAGTTTCTATTATCATCCTAAGACCAACAAGAGTGAGAGAAACATATCCAACAGACAAATGTGGATACTGCTTTCCATGCCTCATAGACCAGAGAACTCTATAATGGTATTTCAGGAAAGCACCTCCGAGATCAATTTTACCTCAGCAAGATGTGACTGAGAGAGGGAAGAGACTTATCAGAGTGACACTGCTAGCACTTCGCAGAACCAAAATTCACACTTAAACCTTAAGTTTATTACTCTTTCTGAACACAAATTGAGGAAACCTAGTTGAGACAAGCATTCTAATATGAACACAGTAAAGGCAACAAATTATTTCAAGTAGTAGGATTTTTGTGCATTCTGCTCCTGGTTCTTTATAAGACATGCCTGTAATCCCAGCTACTCAAGAGGCTGAGACAAGAGGGTTACAAGTTCGAGGCCAGCCTAGGTAACTTAGCAAGACCTTGACTCAAAATAAAAAGGGCTGGGGATGTAGCTCAGTATAGAGCAACTTGCCTAATACAAGTGAAGCTCTGAGTTCAGTTCCCAAATTCCCTCCCCCCCTCTTAAAAAAAACAAGGAAAAGGAAGAATAAGTCTAAGGTTAAAATACATGGGGCAAATATCATGAGCACTTTCAGGAGGAGATATTTTTATGTGAGAAACTAATGTGGATATTCTGGAAATAAGTGGAAACAGTCATAACAAAGAAATAAAAGATATGAAAAAGAGCTGAATGAAATTTAAAACAAAAACATTCAAAAAATGTATTAGATGAGCTAAATGGCAAAACAAAGATGACAGAGTAAAATCAATTAACTTGAAAGTAGATCAAGAGAAATTACCCCTGCTGAAAGACATAAAAAATTGAAGACTGAAAAAATAAGCAGTGCTTCAGGGCCTGCAGACATTTATATCATTAGCATCCCAAAGAAGAGGAGAAAAAGGATGATGCAGAAAAATTATTTAAAGAAATGTGGAAAGCTTTCAAGTTCACCAAAAGAACTGAGCTTGTAAAGAAGTTTAGTATACCTAAAATAAAACAAACACATGGAAATTCACTCTAACATCTATAATAATCAAATTGCTGAAAACTAAAGAAAAAGAAAAAAAAATATTCAAAACAGCCTGAGAAATCAAAGGAGGAACACACAATTCAAATGACAGCAGATTTCTCCTCTGGAACTATGGAGGTCAGAAAAAAGTGGCACATTTTGAACTGCTAACAGAAAAACTTCCAAACTCGAATTCTATTATCCAGAAGAAAATCAGAAATGAAGGGTTTAATAAAGACATTTTTGAATTAAAGAAACTAAATATAAATTATTTCCAGAAAATGTGTTCTAAAAGAATTCCTTAAGGAAGTTCATTAGAGAGTGGGACAGTGATATCAGAAGGAAATTAGGAATACCAGGAATGCATAAAGAACAATAGAAATAGTAAAATTCTCAGTATAAATAAGAGATTGTCCCTTTAGTTCTTTAAAATGTGTTTTATGGTTGAAAGAAAGAGTAACATCATCTTAGGATTTTTCAATGTATTTAATAGATTAAACACAGAAGACAACTGGAATATAAAGAGTAAGGAAAAGGACCCCCCCATAATAGTAATATTTCTACATTTTAGTCTAAGTGGCAAACTACTGATTCTACCTGGACTCTAAAAAGTTTATATATATATAAAATAATCCATAGAGAATCACTAAAAATCTACACAAAGATAAAGTAAAAAACACAAAAGATAAGATGGGATATTAAAAATGTTCAAACAATGGATGGCAAAGGAAAAAGAGAGAAAAGAAACAGAAATAAATAATAAACTAGTATACTTCAATCTAAACATAAGAAATTAGTGAACCTACAGTTGGAAATGTTTTTGTCTACATGAACATGAACAGGACCCAACTGCAAGCTCCTACAAAAACAAAACAAAACAAAACAAAACAAAAAAAAAAAAACACAGCACTTCAAATATAATGATGTGAGTAGGTTAAAAGTAAAATCATAGAAAAATGTGCTATGCACACATTAATTACAATAAATTTTGAATTTAATGTTTATGGTCATTTGAGTTTTTGAAAAGGGTATGGATAATTCAGAGGAGTCAGAAAAGCCATTGGGATCATTCCAACAAATTGTGCCAAGACACCAGTATAGCCTCATGCAAAATAATAAATTTGGACCCCTCCTTTACATCATACACAAAAATTAAAGTAGATCAATAGACATAAGAGCTAAAAATTAACAAACATTTAGAAGAAAACAAAGAGAAAATCTTTGTGACTTTGGGATAGAGGTCAGGGTTTTTAATTGTTGGTGCAATTGACCTTACAGGTCAGATAATTCTATTGAAGAGTTGTTTTGTGCAATGTAAGATGTTTAATAATATTCTTGGCCTTCCTATCCATTAGACTCCACTAGCAACCCTCTTTCGTGTTGTGACAGTCATATATGTCTCCAGATACTGCCAAATGTCCCCTGGGGTCAAAATTTTCCCTAGTCATGAACAACTGGTTAGGCAAGGATTTATTAGATTCTACACCAAAAGCACACAGCAATAAAAGCCAAAAATGATAAATTAGTATTTATCATTAAAAAGTTTTCTCTTTGAAAGATTTCCATTAAGTAAAAACACAAACCAAAACACTTGCAAATCATATATCAGAAAAAGATCTTGTTTCCAGAATATATAAAGATATCTTGCAACTTGAAACAAGAAGTAAACAACCCAATCAAAATATAGGCTAAGGGTTTGTATAGATATTTTCCCAAAGAACAGATATTAATGGGTAATGAGTACATAAAATATGCAGAATATCCTTATAATCATTCTAATTTTCATATGCCTGATTAATCCATCATGAGACACCACTATAATAGCTATAATAAATGAAAGATTACTTTTAACATAAATGTGGAGAAACTGAAACCCACATAAATGGTTGGTGAGAAGGAAAAATGATACAACCACTTTAGAAAACAGTTTGACAATTTCTTAAGAAATTACACTTACGAGTTTGTAGCAATCCCATTCCTCAGTATCCTCTCAAGGGAAATGAAAACCTATATCCATGCAAAGACTTTCATGTAAGTGCTCATAGTAGCATTATTCATAATAACAAAACCCAGAAATAATCCAAATTCCATTAACTGATGAATGAACACAAAAATGTATATCCATAAAGTAAAATATTATTCACTAATAAAAATTGAACTACTGATAACATGCAACATGGATGAGCCTCAAAGACATGGTAAGTATAAAAAGTCAAATATAAAAGATTCTTATTTTATGGTTCCATTAGATTAAATGTCAAAGAAAGGCAAAACTAAAATATAGATAACAGATCAGTGGTTGCCTGTAGGAGGAGTGGAAACTTGGAAATGAAAACAGGTAAGAACCTAGAAAATTGGCATAGTTAAGGAGTTCCAGTCCTATCAGTTATTGTAAAATGTTGTAGAATTACAGTGAATAAAATAGTATGTGATGGGTCCAAGAAGAGACAGATAATTTAATAGAACAATAGAAAATTCAGAAAAAAGAATCAAAGACAGGTAGCCAGTTTGCATTCCTATTTCATCTCTTATATAAAAAGTATTAAAATGGATTAAAATCTTAAATAAAAGCATCAAAAGAAAACAGAAAAGTTTGTTAATATGGCATAGCAAAGAATGCTTTACAAAAATCTGACAAAACCCAGCAAATATAATAAAAGAAAAATATTTTAGATTTGACTAAATTCTGCATGGCAACGCCAACCTAAAACAGAAAACATCAATAAAAAGACCAAAGGAAAGATTAGTATTTAATATCACAATGACTGATTCCTTATAACATATAAAATTCTTAAAAATCTAGAAAGAGACCTGCAACCCAATGAAAAATTGGCAGAGGTTATGAACAAAAAATTCATCCCCCAAATAGGAAATTCAAATGATTTTTAAACATATACAATGATATTCATCCTAATTTCTAGTAAAACAAATGTAAAGTAAAGCAACACTTGGCAAAGATCCAAAGTTTAGTGCACTCTTTTGGTTCAAACATGGGGAAATAGGCACTCTCAAATTATTTTAATAGAAGTGCAAATTGGTCAAGCCCTATGGAAAGCAACATGGTAATATATGTCAAATATACATAATCATATACAAAGTAACCTTAAAATTCCTTTCCTAGGTATTTAGCACATATGGGTACATTTGAACCTGTGCAAAATTATATATAGTCAAGGCTATATTTCCATTGATTATAGTAGCAAGATATTGTCAATTGAAATATCTAAACATAAGGGAGAGTTAAGTTACAAAACCTTCAAACTATGAAGTAATACAAACCTATTAAAATGTGGCAGCTCTATATGTTGCAGAAGGTATATCCATATATTGATGAATCTTACATCATATATATGTGAGTATATATATCTATATATACATTTGTGACTATTTAGGGTACTAGGATGAAGAAACACCCTTAATTTTCACTGTGCATCCTTTTGTGTTTTTGGATTCTGCATTATGCAAACACAATATCTATTTAAAAATAAATACAAATTTATTTAAGGGAACTGTGTTCATATGCACCCCATTTTTATTAGATTCCATCACCTGGATCAACATGAGAATATTTGCATAACTAATCACTTAGCAAAAAAATATCACCTTTAGGTAATTTCTTTGGTGTATTTGTCATCCAACTGTTATTAAAATATGCTAATGTTTAATGCAAATCTCATTAGTTGAAGTTTGCATTGCTGTCCAATCTTTTACTCTTTTCTTTTAAGAATAGATGAATGTATATTTAGAGTGGACAAAGTGTGTTTGAGTGTGTGTGTGTGTGTGTGTGTGTGTGCGCGCGCGCGCGCGCCTACACATATAAGGAGGGACCACAAGTCTATTGTTCCTATTTTAGATGAATATATTACAGACATTCTGATTCAGAATTATCTAAAACTAAAATGTGTTATGTATAAGTTCAACTTAAAAGCTGGCTATAGCCGGGCATGGTGGCACATGTCTGTAATTCCAGCAGCTCAGGAGGCTGAGGCAGGAGGATTGCAAGTTCAAAGCCACCTTCAGAGGATTACAAAACAAATGCCTTTTTCACACATTGTACACTATGTTTGTTTTTAGATTTTTTTTTCTTCAGTCTAAAGTTTTTTGCCTGAATACAGCCTCATCTTCTCTCTTCCCACTCCTGCACAGCTAATTGCCATGTACCAAAATAGTTGTCTTATGTACACTGAAAATCCTATAAGGAGACAGAGCTTGCCAAGAAGCCTTAGGGATATATCTAGTATTGGAAATTCATATTCTGTCCTCTAACCCAAACTTGAACCATACATACAAATCACCTGGGTATTTGCCAAAATGAAGCTTTCAATCTAGTAGATCTAGAGTAAAGCTTGAGATTTTGCACTTCTAACAATTTCCCAAAGGATGCCAATGTTGGTAGTCCACAGATAATACTTCTAATAGCAAACACAGTCTGGCTAAGAGTAAAAGTGTTGCTAAGGCTAAAGTTAAGATCATACAATTTCTTGTATAGGCTTGATGTAGCCTAATCTGGGTGCTATCTAATCTTGTCTTCCCAAATTATCCAATGAACCCAGTAACCCAGTTACAAGAGTTACTAACATTAATTACTAAAAAAAAAAAAAAAAAGAAAGAAAGTAAGACTCTTTCTCTACATCTTAAGGTTTCTCTTAGGATATTCTTTTCTTTTCTTTTACCTTCTTTCTTTTCTTTTTCCTTCTTTTTTTCCTTTCCTTTTTCCCCTCTGGTGCCATGGATTGAACCCAGGACCTTGTGCATGCTTGGCAAGTGCTCTACTGAGCTACATGCCCAGCCCTGAAGATAAATTGTTCTAAAAAACCCTAGCCTCTTGTGCCACCCCTTAGTACTTGACTGATAACAGCCATTATTCCACTTTTCTCAATCAAGAGATAATCCAAAGGGGAGAGAGGCTGAGAGGGAGAGAAAGAGAAAAAGTGGTAAATGTAGGGATGGTCTCTCAGTTCCCTCACTCCAGGATACAGCAGCAACATGTAAAGTATGCATATTCTCCAGACTCAAACTGTCCCTTAGGTGAGCAGTTCCAAGGCTCATTGGAAGACTGGTGAAGGAGCAAGAGCTTGGAAGAACACTTTCTTATCTTTATCAGTAATAACAATGATAGATGGATTTTCCATAATCTATATTGTTTAGTCTTACTTCTCAACTGATTCAGGACTCAGGGTGAAGAGCCGTTATTTATTGAATCCCTCCAGATCCCCAATACTACTAAACAAGCTAAGATTAGTGACAAATTTGAAAAGGTCAAATATCCAAGCCCTCTGTCTCCATCCTCAACATATCCCAGGGATGCTTTCCAAAAGTTCTGCCTTATTCTTTGGCAATTCTGTCCTATCTGAAAGTCAGCCTCAGGCCCAGACTTTGATCTGACTCACATTAAGTCTTTAGAGGTTCTTCATCTGTGTACTCCCATCAATAAATGCAGAAAACAGAGAAAAATATCATTTATATTTCCCTACTTTTAGATGCCTCTGATTGGGCAAAATTTAATTTTACTTTATTCATTATCTCCGCCGAGAGGCACATTCTTAAAATTCTTACTGTTTCCATTCTACCCCTCCTGTGGCTATATTTCCATTCAGAAAGCAAAAAAGAACCTAAAACTCCAATTAACCCGTAGTATATCTTCCCCAAATCCTCTGACCTTTCTTCCTTACCTTCTCTTGGATCCCTTCATCATCACCAGCAAAGTACAAAATCGGGACATTGAGCTCAGAAGCAGCTACCCATTGAAGAACAGCTTGGAGTTGCTTGTTCTGAACTGTGTCAGATAGGTTGTGATTACTGACAATCACTTTGGGTGCTGTACATCCTTCAGGGGGCTGTCCTGATGCACATCTCAGTTCATTATGGATGGCTTGATAGGCATTTTGTAGGAGAGCCTCTGCTGTTCCTGTGCCTTTGACTGGTAAACACTCGTATAAACTCTCTGGGAAGGCTGAATTTGGCCGGCTGGCATCCCCACTTTTCTCATCTCCCAGCTCTGCCAAGGGAGAGTCACAGGACTTGGCAATAATGAGACACAACTTCATCACTGAGTCCACCAGATGATCTACCATTTGCCCATTCATGTTGCCATCCAGCTGGTTGGCAACCATCTTGGTCAGCCCAGAAAAGGCACCAGCCTCATCACCTTCAGATAATTTGGGGGAAGGGGTCATAGGTCTTTCACCCTGGTTGCAATCTTTTTCCTTATCTGACTTTTCTGGAGCCTTGGATTCACAGCTATTGTCACCCTTGAAAATAGTTTCACCAAGTAAGTTCCGGATAAAATTGAAGAAAACACTCATTAGATCCTTCTTTTCTGATTGTTCTTGGTCACATACCACGTGAGGGGTCTTAAGGCTGGATTCATCTAAAACTACAGGGGTCTTGGTGATGGGAAAGTTGGAGGAGCCAGCAGCTTCAAGGAAGCTCTGTGCATCCATCCTTCCTCCCTGAGCCAGGTGGTACTGAATCAGAAGCAGGGCAGACACAATCAGGTCCTTGGCCCAGGAGTCTGAATCACACATAAAATTCTCTGGTATCTCTGGGAAATGCAGAGAAGGGCTGAAACTGCAAGGATCCAGACACTCAAAGGGAATGTCTGGTGCAGGATTTTTCTGTTTGTTGGTAGCTGCAGGTTCGAAATCTGGAGATTTACACTCTTTCTTTTGAGTTTTATGCCACATGGTCAACCCCTCTTTGATAATATGCTCACCCAGGGTTTCAGCACAAGTCTTCTCCTTCTCTGATTTGCCTGACGAATATATCTTTTCTTTCACTTTAGCTTCAGATTTCATTGTAAAGTTCATATTTCGGTCTATTCCTTTCATGGAGAGGAGGGAATAACTCTCTGACTTATCCTTGGTTTTCCGGAGATTATCAGGGAATTTTTTGGCAAACATCACAGTGTATAGTTTACCTAGCATGGCGTCCATGATATCTGTAGCCTTTTGGCTTCCTTGAGAGAAGAGACTTCTTTTCACAGCTGAGATAAAGTCTGTATCAGTCATAAGGGTCCCGGTGACATTGTGGAGATTCTTCATGAAGGAATCAATGAGATCTGAGACGACTTCTTTTGCATGTTTGATCAGTACTTTCTTTAGTAAGATGGTGGCAATGGTTGTGTCCTTCACTTGGATCCTCAGTGTCTTCATGATGGAGACCATCATATCCGATACCACACTATTGGCATAGGTCATGATCCCTTGACTAACGGAAGCTGTAAAGTCACTAGGCCTTTCCTGCCCACTGAACATCTTTTTCTCCCCAGGCAGGGACTTTCCACCCTCTTTGGCATCACCTGCATTCCGAGATTCAAACACTTCCTTATAGAAGAAAGACTTCTTAGAAGCGGACTTGTCATCTGGACACTTGCTTTCCTTGGTACACTCCTTGATTTTCAAAGTGCTCTTGTACTTCAAATTTGGGGGACTCTGTGATAATCCGGAGGCTCTGTCTCCAGAGCCAGGAGCCTTGTCTGGGGAAGTTGTATTGGCACATGCAGAGACAGTTTCATTCACCAACTCTGATGCTACTGTACTCAGGCTCTTTTTGGGTACAGGTTCATCCCCTACATACAATGATTGACGGACACATTTGTTTTCAGAGCCGTCGATCTTCTCATTGATCTCCTTGCGGGCCATAGCTATGACTAGATTTGTGAGGCGGTTAGCATAGAAGGAAACTTCATCGACTGAACTCCCTTTACCAGCTTGAGGACAGGGGTCCTGGGAGGGAGTCTCTTTGTGAGTTACCTCAAAATGCAATCTCCCTGGACTGCCCTTCTGGGGGTTGTTGAAATAGTCTATACAGAAACCTCTGTTTCCTGGGTTGGCAGTTTCCTCACCAAATGACGATTCTCCAGGCTTGAATCTAATATCTTGGAATTCTGCTGTACTTTTTTCCAGGTCTCTGCGGAGCCAGCTGAGCACTCTGACAGGATCTGTTGATGCTTCCTTAAAAACAGACAAGGTTTCATCCGACTATAACAAAGTAAAGATATGGGATATTCAGGAAAACCTCAAAGGCCAGTTACAAAAACTGTCACCCCTCAAGCCAGCTCAGTCATCACAAAAAAACAACATATATTAAGTGCTTACTATGTATCAGGCACTCGTCCAAATATTTTAAGACTATTATTTCACTTAGAATTATCCTCATATTAAATCCAAATGTTAGCTCTTATTATCTTAATTTTACAGAGGAGAAAATGGAAGAAAGAGAGGTTAGGTTAGTTACTCATTTGAAGTTATATAGTTAATTGTTGATAGAGGAGGGATTGCAACATAGGCAGTCTGGTTCCAGAGCCCATGCCCTCAGCTAAATACATTTTTTTGCTTCTAAGAACATATGTCCGTAAGATCTGATAGTCACAAGCCCCATAGAAGAGTTAGTTAGCATCTGAAGTGAATCAGATTTTCTTTCTTGTATTGATATTAACTGCTATTGTCTGTAGCTTACACATTTCTATTTAGGTCTCATTGTAAGTATAGTTTTTAAAAAATTGAGAAAATTCAAGGAAAATTGTGCATGATGATGATTCACTATGCCAAGCTCCATAAGCACAATGTGGATATGCTTAATGGATTTCCAGTGGTCTAGCCGATATCAATTAAATTAATAGTCTGATTCAAAATTGAGGAGTTTTTACCTTGGGCAATTTATTAGTTCTGTGTGAATACAGACTGATGGACACTAGCTATGATAATTAAATGCATATAGTGTATGTAATCTGTATAATG